AAACTCCCTGGCACTTTTGATCAATTGCTTATGTCACGTATCAGTAAAATCTCGTGTGAATAAGGTCACGTGTTTGTAAACCGTAATTCTCGCGAGATCACGTTGTGAAGTGATTGGTCATTAATTATCCTGATGAAGGCGACAGTGGTCGCTGAAAATTTGATTCCTGTACAATTGTGTGTTGGAATAAAGTTCAACCTTTTACTATGGTACGTTACATTTGGTAGTTAATTAGAAACTGATGACGTCCGATGTTTTGTATGTTTTCCCTTATTTCTTTAAATCTAAAGCCACATTAAAGAAGGAAGCTTCAGAAAATTATGTCTTTTAAAAACTTTATTATCATTCACAACGCAGCAATACAAAAATATTATATACTAGATACATAATCGTACATAATGATACATAAGAAACACAATGTGGGTTTTGTAACGTGAAAGTAGTTACTAGTATCTAGATGATTATCATTTGAAAAATTGCCATTGTTCGTTCGCTTAGCAATAAGAATACAATGTGCTAGTGTACTGACATAATGTGGGTTTAGGAAATTAGAAAATAGGAAATTAGAATTCAAGAAATTCAAGAAATTAGATATTACCTTTTTGTTACAGGGCCAAGGTTTCCACACAGCTTTATTTTATGGAAGATAACCTCTAAAAACCCCCAAACTAGTGCGCGTGGGCGAATAAAAAAAAAATCCCGGCCAAAAATAAAAATGCTACTAAACCCCAGGAATACAAAGCTGGTATTGTGACTTTGTGGCAGTACTTAGCGACGTATTCGACAAGCCGGCACATGCTGGCTTTTTGCGGAAATTCTGAATCTGCACTGTACGTATTACTGAGTTCTTGAGTCGTGGAGCTTACTTAATTAGTCTACATGTGTGCCCGATCCCGTAATGTCGCTAACTACCATGGAGTACCCAGGCATAAAGCCAGGCCAGAGCCTCGGAGGATGTCACAAAATCAAGTCAGTGTGGCCTATTAAAATCAACAAAAATTCTAATCTTGTTAAACAAGTGGTTGCGAATGAAGAACTTTGTTATTCAAGGATGTCCTGTATGTTTTGCAAACTTTATCCTGAAATGTATCCTTGCCTCACAGAGGTTCAACTTGCGATGCACTCTGTGGGCATCTGCGGCACGGATGTCCACGTCCTGACGGAAGGGTCCCTCGGTCAGTCCGTGCTGACCGGTCCCACGGTCTCCGGCCACGAGGCCAGCGGAACAGTGCGGCAGGTCGGAGAGGGGGTCACCCATCTGGCAGTCGGTAAGGCCCGCCTTTCAACTACGGTGGTGTAATCTCAAAGCTGATCGTTCGCTGGCTGCAAAGACAGTATTAATTTGGCCCTGCAGAATCCATTTGCAACCATTAGGCTTGGGTAAATATTTATTTAAAAAAAAAAAACACGCCAAAAATAAGCCGAGGTCTAAATTTTTGGAGGGTAAGGGCAGTGAACGGTTACTGGGAGCATGCGCAGTATCTACAATGCAGTTCCAAATTCACATGTGTGCGATGTATACACAATTGTTGTCAAGTAATTAAGAAAAGTCACACGGACCAGTATCTATAATTCATGTATTGCTGTGCAATGTGAACCAATCAGAATTGCCTCGAGGTAAAAAAAAAAACAACAACACAGGAACGTAGGCTGGATAGACCTCCTGGTTGTGTAAAAATAGCCATTTTTATTCTATAGCAATATCATCGTCAGATCTTAGTGACGCTAACTCTGTAACAATGGTAGGGTCAATAACATTTTCAATTTGTTGATTGTCGCTACAGTATAGGGAATGTTTCGCCCAAACATTCTCTACTAACGGACTACAAGTTATACTACATGGCTTGCTCTTGAAGCGTCGCCAAAAATTTAATTGTATTTTCTGTTCTTTCTTTATTGGCAATGACAACAGGTCAAGA